TCACAAAAGCCCGTCCACTAGCAACCAAACCTTTAGCACATGGTCTTTGGGGGGACACTTCAGATCCAACCATACAAGCATCTAATTCATCCTGGTACATTGTGTGTATTTTTATAAGTGACAGCTAAATCATTTTAGCTATATAAAAAATGGCAGAATGAAGAGTTAATAGGTGGTTAATTACTCTTTGTTTTACACTTTTGTGTATTGTCTCATATTTATATAATTTTTATTTCTATAGTCAAAAAAGTGGTTAAATAAATGTACAAAGGCACTATTCAAGGACTCCATCTGATCTTACATTTTATAGAAGAGGAAACAGGTCTGCAAATTTCCTGACTTGCATTCGCGTCAGCAAGTTGCCAAGTTAGGCTAGGAATATAGAAATGTTACACAAGGCCTCTGTAAGCAGGTTCTCACCTGGGAGGTGGTGATCAGAACCCCCCACTCCTCCCTCTGTCCCCATCTTAACACACATCACACCCTCTTCCCTGCCACATGCCATGCTGGTTATTGAAGGCACAGCCTGTTACGTCAGTGGGGAAAGTTATGGGAAAAACCAGCCTCGGGAAGAGAACATAGGAAAGTAATAGAGAAAGCACACTTAGACTGTAATGTGTCTTTTGATCTTCAGTGATGCCATTTTGAGTGGTCAAGTAAATCTTCAAAGGACCCCGCATCTCAGAGAACTCAGGTGTGGTTAGGCAAAAGTGTCAGTCTAACCAATGGAACTGGATTTTCTCAGGCAACACTGGCCTCTGGGATGCAGAAAGGTGGTGAGATTTTGGTAGCTTGGTTAAAACCACTTCCAGGCCAGATTGGGCTTCAAACAGAGTTGCAGGTTGATGCACACACAAGAGATGCTCACTCTGCTCTCAACTAAGTTGATTATTCTGCTTCTCTGGAGCAGATCAGATGCCTGCATTTGTCATTGCCAAATTTCAAATGAGTATCTTGCCTATTATTGAGAGGGGATATTTCAAATTATGGTGCCCCCCCAGGGCACAAATGCACCAATAGTAGCTCCTTCTGGGTTTGTAGCATCTTTGTTCTTCTGGTCAGGTGTAAAGCAGCTGCTCACTTTGGAGGGTTGGGTGCATTCTCTTACATACTTACTTACTTGATATTAGAATCTTCTGAAGTTACGGTATCCAGGGACACATTAATGCCATGCTTAGCCTTTGTACGTTCCTCCCAGCAGTATGTGAAAGCCTTTCTTTGTAGATAGCTACACACTCCATCTAAGGGTTGTTGGCTCAACAATGAAACAGTGCATCTGTGCATTTCTTAAGATGGCATCTTGAATTTTGGCTTTGGTTGCAACTGTCCAGGTACCAGGTCAATAATTTGCACTCCAGTTAGGCTTTGTCTTTCCCGCATCAGAATCCTGTCTCAGTGGGGCCCACAGCAGGAGAGGGAGTTTTGTTTACTCTAGGGAAGATCATGTGGATGATCTGAATTCCTACTTATCCACAGGTAGCGACAGACCAGTTGGCCACAAAAGTCCTGGGTTCACCCTACGTGGGTTATGAAAAAAGAAGGAGGAAGTGATGGAGTAGAATTTCAGAGTGTCGTGTGAGCAAATGAGTGACCCCAGACTGGATAATATTATACAGCTTAAAACACATATTTATATATGTTATGACATTTGATGCTCACAACACCCTTTAAATAGGGTTTGCCAGGTAGTACATTCATTTTACAGAAATAGAATAGGATATTGAGTGACTTGCCAAGAGTCACACAAAGACACTTCAGAGGTGCAGTTCCAGATATTCCAGCTATAACCCTATGATTGTTGTGCTTTCAAGATGTTAACCTGGGAGGCACTACGTGGAGCCAGCGGAGTTGTCACTGCTCAAAATGCTTTGCAACCCACAAGCTTAAGTTCTGGGATTTGCCATCAGGTCTAGATTAAAAAGCACTGAAAAAAAGAATTAGGATTATGATTTGTTTGCACCCAAAATTGAGAGGGAGAGGGGGAGAGAGAGAGAGAGAGAAAGAGAAAGAGATTATTATATATCTGATCCTTGATAGTTTGAGAGTTTCAAAAGAAAATTCTACTACCACTGGAAACATTTTTAAAAAGACTTCCCAGAAAACCCAAGCAAGTGCGTGAACTATTCTGACATTGAAGGACTCTCTTACAGTCTTCAGAGCTCAGAAAAGGTAATTGTGAAATCTCCTGGTAGGGTGCTTGCCACTCCAAACCTGAACCCTGAACCTACCACATATGGCTGTGTATTTTAAAGGTGAGTTCACACAATGGTGTGTTCACACAACTGCCAATCCCCATTACGTGAATTGCTTCTTAAGGGACTGGATCACATCTTCCCCATCTCCATAGGCCCCCAACCCAAGACTTGTCTGAGCTCCAATGCCATGTAGATCCTATTACTTGTCCTCAGCCTGGACACTGGCCAGAGGATTGATTAGAATTCACAAAATTCTGTATTCTAATCTATGGAGGGCTTAACATCACTAAGATGATGATGTTAATCAAAATGATCTACAGAGTTCATGCAATCCCCATCAAAATCTCCATTCTTTTCAGAAATAGAAGTACTTATCCTAAAATTCACATAGAATTTCAAGGGACCCCAAATAGCCAACACAATCTTGAAAAACAAATTTGGAGGTCTCACATTTCCTGCTTTCCAAACTTATGACTAAACTATTGTGATCAAAATAGCATAGTACTGGCATAAAAACAGATGTATACAACAATAGTACAGACTAGAAAGCATAAAACAACTCTCACATATTGTGGTCAAATGACTTTTTGACGAGGATGTCATGACCATTCAATGGGGGAAGAAATAGCCTTTTCAACAAATGGTACTGGGAAAACTAGATATCCACATCCTAAAAATAAAGTTGAATCTTGCATCACATACAAAAGTTTAATTCAAAATGAATCAAAAGACCTAAGTAGAAAAGCTAAAAACAACAGGACTCTTAAAAGAACATGCAGAGGAAAAGCTTCATGACATTGGATTTGGCAGGAAGTTGCACAAATCTTGTAGGTACTTGTCCATAGCAGCCAGAAGTTGGAAGTAACTCAAGTCTCCATTAATGGATAGATGAACGGGATGTGGTGTACACACAGGGGAATGTTACCTAACCTGGGAAAGGAAGGGGATTCTAACACATACCACAATATAAATGAGCCCTGGGGACCCTTTGCTAAGTGTCATAAACCAGTCACAAAAGGACCAATCTGTATACTCCCTTCTTATATACAGTACCTAGACTAGTTAAGTTCATAGTGACAGAAAGTAGAATGGTGGCTGCCAGGAACGGGGTGGGGAGGTGGGAAGTCACTTAATGAGCACAGAGCCTCAGTTTAGCAAGACATAAAGAGTTTTGCAGATGGATAGCAGTAATGTCTGCACAACAGCACAAATATACTTAATACTAAAGAACTCTACCCTTAAAAATGGCTGTGACTGTAAAATTTTATTATGTATATTTGAAATTTAAAAAAAGAACAATCTTCCCAATTTCAATTTGGCAAATTTATATTGAGGCTGGGTATGGTGGCTCATGCCTGCAATTCTAGCATTGGGAGGTTAAAGCAAGGTGGATCAGGAGTTTGAGGCCAGCATGGGCTATAAAAACAACAAACAACAACAACCCTGAGCTGACTTATATTGAGGTTGGTGGATGTGGTTCTGAAGCAGTTTGCTTTGTGGAAGAAAGCTAATTAGAGTTGTAGAGCATAAGTATCCCCACCGGGGTCTACTAGCTGCTATAACCACCACAGTCACAGGGCTCAGTCACACAGATCCACTCTCCCTGCTCACGCCCACCTGTGGCCACTCTTGCCACCCGGACCTGGGAAGCTTTGCTTTGATTCTGGATGAGTCAATAGAAACACCACCTAGGAAGTTAATGAAACAGAACCAGAAAGAGGTGAAAGCCAACCCTGGGACACAAGTTCAATTCTCCTTCATCAGTGTGGCTGTGTAGATGGGGATAGGGTCCTCAAATCTTAGTCCTACCACAGTTGTCACTGACTACTCAGTTTCATCAGCTGTGTGACCATGGGCAAGTCATTAAGACTCTCTAGACTTAATTCATCACCTTAACACAAGGACAGTACACCCCCATCTATCTAAAAAGGCCATTTACAAAACCATTAAATGAAAGAATGCAAATGAAAATGTAAAACTGGCCCAAAGAGACAGCTATAGAAATACGAGTTTCTTGTAGGTTCTGGGGTTTGTCTTTGTGTAACAAACATGGGCCATTGTCCCTGTCTTGCCTGGATGTTGTAAAGTTACAGGCAACTGCTACAGCTGGGATGGTGTTTGCTTCCTACTGATCTCTGTGAATGCCCTGACACACCTCCTGCTTGGAGAAGGTGGGTTGGGAAGGCTGGACTGTGGTGTTGGAGGAGGTACATTTTGGGTTCTGCTACCCAGCACCCTTTCCCCATGATCTTGTGTAAGGGCATCCCTATTATTCCTGGGATCATTTCCTTCCCCTCTCAGTTTGTGTGGCTCAGGCGGGGGTGCCCACCCACCTCCCTTCCCATCCCTTCTGGGTCCTCCAGGTTGGCTCAGTCAGCATGTTTACTCCCCTTCCCCTCTGCCACAGTGAAGGGTTCGGAGACAGCCATGACCTAATCCAGGACCAGGAAACACACACTTGTTCTTGTGCTGGACCCACTGTGAAACTTCTGTGAGGGCATTTAGCTGGAAACAGGAAGAAAACAAGGCCAACATGAAGGGGAAAGAAAAGTCTAAAAGTTGTAGAGAGTAAGACTTTTGATGGCAAATCTGGATAGCTGGCTCCAATCAAATCTGAACCAGTACTGGGTGTTTTAGTTAAGTCAATAACCCCCTTTCACTTCCCCCTTCTCTGGTGCTAGCTTGAGTTGAGTTTCTGCCATCTTGTAATGGAAAGATTTGAATAAAATAACTGGGAAAAAGATTGACCTTGAGTTTGTCCTTAACTCTATGTTTCTTCTGGAAAACCCTGTAATGGCAGCTCACCCTGCGTCGGAACTCTTCTCCTTGTTTCACTTCCCGAGGGTAGCCATCAATCAGGAAGCCCTTGGTGTTGCTGAGGCTTGCCACCATGGCCTCCTTCAGGAGCTCCAGAACGATGCCCTGCAGCAGAGGGACAGAGGTTAGGACCTAAGCTGCACAACACCAGAATCACAGCCTGGAATTACCACAAGTCTCCTCCAGCCAATCTCTTAGGGAGGGAGGGAAGTTCAGACGAGATCAAGGCACATAGCAGTACTCCATATTCCATCGGTTCTAAGTCTTGCCTTTCCCTCCCCTCCCTCACAACCTAATGACTAGGAAATTGGTGGGAGGCTCACAATGGGCACTGGGTTCCAGTCTAATTGTAAGTGTTTTTTCTTACTGGCATGTCCTGCCTGGGGAGGAGAGGTGTGTCTTAAAATAATGGCATCTGATTACATGAAACATGGTAGCCCTATTTCATAGGATAGCACTCCATAAACTAAGCATCAGAGCAGTTTAAAACTAGGAAAAATATAAAATATATTTCACTGTTAATTTTCTTCCAGTAAATATTTTATAAAACTTGATATCTACTTTCAGTAGGTATGAAGTAGCATTCCCTAGCAGCATCTCTTTCTCAATAGCCTCAAAACCAATAAAGTACATTTAACAAAAGAAACCAAAGACCTTTTTTAATGAAAACTATAAACCACTGAAGAAGAAATGGAAGACTTCAGAAGATGGAAAGACCGTCCATGCTCATGGATTGGTAGAATCAACATTGTGAAAATGGCTATACTACCAAAAGCAATCTACATTTTCAATGCAATCCTTATCAAAATTCCAATGACATTCTGCACAGAAATAGAAAAAAATCAATCTTGAAATACATATGGAAATATAAAAGACTTCAAATAGCCAAAGCAATTCTGAGCAAAAAATCCACTACTTCAGGCATCACAATATCTGATCTCAAGTGACAGCACAGAGCCCTAACAATAAAAATAGCATGGTATTGGCACAAAAACAGACAGGAAGACCAATGGATCAGAATAGAAGATCCAGACATAAGTCCACGCATCCATAGCCGCTGATCTTCAACAAAGGAGCCCAAAACACATGATGGAGAAAAGAAAACCTCTTCAACAAATGCTCCTAGGAAAACTGGATAACCACAGGCAGAAGACTGAAACTAGATCACTGTCTCTCACCCTGTATCAAAATCAATTCAAAGTGGATCAAAGACCTTAATATAAGGCCTGAAACTTTGAAACAACTCCAAGAAGCAATAGGAAATACACCAGAACAGATAGGTATAGGGAATGACTTCCTCAACAGAACTCCAAAGACTCAGCATCTAACAGAAACAATGAACAAGTGGGACTGTATCAAACTTAAGAGCTTCTGCACAGCAAAGGAAACAGTCACCAGACTCAAGAGACAGCCCACAGAATGGGAGAAAATCTTTTCGCCAGCTACTCATCTGACAAGGGTCTAATATCCAGAATCTACAGGGGACTCAAAAAACTCAGCCCCCAAAGAATCAACACCCAAATGAAGAAATGGGCACATAAATTAAAAAGGGAATTCTCAAAGGAAGAGGAACAAATGGTCAGTAAATACATGAAGAAGTGTTCACCTTCCTTGGCTATAAAAGAGATGCAAATCAAAACAAAACTTAGATTCATCTCACCTCAGTTAGAATGGCCAGAATCAAGGGTAACAACAACAAATGCTGGTGAGGATCTGGTGAAACAGGAACCCTTATACACTGTTGGTGGGGATGCAAATTATGCAATTATACAACCATTATGAAAGGCAGTATGGAGATTCCTCAAAAAACTAGAGATAGAACTGCTATATGATCCAGTGATACCACTCCTGGGATCTACCCAGAAGAACGTAAAACAGGATACAGTAGAGACCCCTGTACACCAATCTTCATCACAACACTATTCACAATAGCCAAGCTGTGGAAACAACCCAGACGACCTACAACTGATGAATGGATCATGAAATTGTGGTATACATACACAATGAAGTATTTACTCAGCCACAAGGAATAATGACATAGGGTTTGAAAGTAAATGGACATCATGTTAAGTGAAGTTAGCTAGGTTCAGAAACACAAAAGACACATGTTTTCTCTCATATGTGGAAGACAGATCCAAAGATAAACATATACACAAAAACAAACATGATCATATACAAACTCAGTTATAGAACACATTTGTAACTCTGGAACTCTGGGAAAAAGAAAAGAAAAGAGAATGGTAGACAACAGTAATATTCGCACATCATAAGATGTGAGAGTAGAGGACAGAAGGATGTGAATTGAAAGATGTTGAAAAGTGGGGTTTGGGAGGCAAAGGGGAAAGGAGAGTATTCAAAGGGATTGAACAGACCAAAGTAAAGCACACTCACAGAGGGCATACATTGAGACTCCCCTTCATACTCCTATATAAGACAGAACTAGAAAACCTCTTGCAATTGCTTTAAGTGGGGTGGGAGAAAGCTGAGGGGGAGAAATGATGGGGGCAATGTAACCAATGTACAATATAAGTCTAATCAGAATTGTCACTATGAACCCCCCCATATTATGAATATATCCTAATAAAAATGTATTTAAAATTTTTGATGTGGAAAATTTTGATATGGAAAATAAGGGGGCAGGAACATGGAAGTTTGGGGAGGGGTTGGGCAGCATATGGTCAGTTGCGTTTGTTGAGGAAATAGAGGAGTTCCCTGCACTCTTGCTTTTGGCAAGAGCTCTGCGAATGAAGCCGTCCCATGTGTAGTCAGAATTCTTCTCTGGATAATTGTGAATTAACTCCGGTTGACATTTATAGTCTAATGAGGAAGACAACAGATAAACAAATGAATATATAACAGCTAAAGATAACTGATAGGCACAAAATTAAGGCAGGGCAAAGAGATATAAAATGCTAGAGATGTTATTCCAGAGAGGGTAGTCAGAGAAGGCCTGTTTGATAAATCATGACATTTAGGCAGAGTCTAGATGAAGTGAAGGAGCAAACTGTGTGAGTATATGAAAGAAGAACACTCAGGCTGAGGAAATAGCCAATGCAAAGGACCTGAGGCAGGAGTAGCTGACCTGTGTGAGGGATGAGGAGGAGGGCAGAGGCTTGGTGGGAGCCAGCCAGGTGAGGTAGTTGGAGGCCAGAGCCATGGCCAAGACTCGGATTTCATTCTGAGGGTCATGGGCAGCTGCTGGAAGGTTCTGAGGAAGGGGGCAGCACAGTGAGGTAAGCATTTTAAAGAAACCCCCTGGCTTCTGTGAAGAGTGCTGGGGTGGGCGTGGGGTTATGAGAAAAGTGCAATGTCAGTTTTCCTTTCATGAGCCTCGTTCTGGCCTCCAGGTGGGAGACAGTAGAGGCTGCATTGCACAAGCCCTGGTTATAGAGTTGCAGTGAGACCCAACATGCAAGAATGAATATTTTTTGATACTCATGCAGACACAGATACAAATATGATTTGAAGAGGAAAAAAAAAAGACACTAGCAAAGGGATGTTCTTTACTTAAATTATACCAGGAAGGCATTATAAATTTTTTAAATAATGCCATAAGCTAGACCAAAAAGTTTTTTTGTTGTTTCCTCAAAGCTTCTAATGCTAGGCTCCTTACCTCCACATTCACCAATGTTTCGAAGATTTTTTTGTAAAATGTTTTTTGGTGGAACTTTGCACTCAGGGCTTTGTGCTTACTAGGCAGGCACTCTATCACTTGAGCCATGCCTCCATCCCTTTTTGTTCTGGCTATTTTGGGGATAGGGTCTCTCTTTTTGCCCAGGCCAGCCTGGACGAAGATCCTCCTTGTAAGCTGGAATGACAGGCACGTACCACTATGCCCAGCTATTTCCAGTTGAGATGAGGTACTGCAAACATTTTTGCCTGGTCTGGCCTCAAACCGTGATCCTCCCAATCTCATTCTCCCATGTAGCTGGGACGACAGGTGTGCGCCACCAGTACTTCCACTCTTTTGAAGATTTTTTTTTTTGGTGGCATTGGGGTTTGAACTCAGGGCCTCACACTTGCTAGGCAGGCGCTCTTACCATTTGAGGTACTCCACCAGCTCTCTGTTTTGAAGATTTTTAACTCTACAGCGAGGGGCTGGATTTGGGGGAAAATGAGAACTAAGCTGACATTTAAGGAGCTGGTCAAGGAACCTGGGCCTGTGCAAATTGGTTGGACAGTGGGCTGTTTGCTGCAGACCTGCCCACCTCTGGATTGTCACCTAGGAGAAATAAAATCCAGCTCCAGGCCCTGTGGGTTCCTTTGTTTTTGCAGCTTCATCTCTTTACAGAATCCAGGTGGATACCTTGTCCAAAAGGCTGCTGCTCAGGGCGGGGCCGTGGCTTGCCAAGGGCAGGGGCGGGGCTTACCGAGAGCGGGGGCGTGGCCTGCCAAGGGCAGGGGCGGGGCTTACCGAGAGGGGGCGTGGCTTGCCAAGGGCAGGGGCGGGGCTTACCGAGGGCACCAGGTCTCCACGTTCCATGATGTCTCTGATCAGTTTGCTTCTTTCAGATTCCGAGGCCAGTTCTTTACGTAGGAGCTCGCCCATCGAGAGATGGGTGAACCCGTATTTCCTCACCAGCTTCTCACACTGTGTGCCTTTGCCAGAGCCAGGGCCACCTTGAAAAGGAGTCATGTGTCAGACATGCATTCCAAGCACGGGGCCTCCCTTTCGACTGTGGCCACCGTGGTGAGCAAGGCTCAGGTTTCCTTCACAGGCACCTGGGGAGGCCTTTTCACATCCTGGGAGCTGCTCTGGGGGCCATGGGCACAAATGGAGGGCGAGGCACAGTCCTGGAGTTTAAGGAGCTAACTCCTGGAGGGGTCAGGTTTTAGGGACAGACACAGGAGCGGGTGGAGCTGGTGGAAGTGGTCAGCTGAGGAGGGGTTCAGCCTGTTTCAGGATCGCAGAGGAGAGGCATGGTGGCTACGTTTGACAGTGATGCAAATCAGAGAAGGTTCTTGTGGAACTGAGCCTGATGCTCAGGTGAAAGAATTGGCTGCCAAACCTAATGAGCTGCTAATTTAAAAAGAAATTGTTTTTCTTTTTCAGACAGTCACAAACCTACAGAAGAGTTGTAAGCGAAGTACAGAGAACACTGTGAAACACTGGAGAGTAGAACCTTTTAGCATCATTTCCCCACATGAGGGAACAAGAACATCGTCCTAGATAACTACAGCCTCACACCGCTTTCAACTTTCAATCAATTGTCCCAATCAACTGACTATCCTCTGAAGAGCAAATGAACCAGGTTTAGAATCACGAGTTGCCTTAGTTGTCATGTCCTTCTGGTCTCCTTCAGTATGGGACACATTCTGAGTTTCCTTGACAGTTTTGACGATTACAGGTAGTTTTGTAAAATGTTCCTCAATAGATTTTTTCTAGCTGTTATTATTAATTCTGAGTATCTGCATTTTTTTTTGTTTTTGGTGGGACTGGGGTTTTGAACTTGGGCTTTGCTCTTGCAAAGCAGGCTCTCTACCACTTGAGCCAAACCTCCAGTCCATTTTTCTCTGGTTATTTTGGTGATGGGGTCTCTCAAACTATTTTCTTGGGCTGGCTCAAACCTTGATCCTCCCAGTCTCAGCTTCCCAAGTAGTTAGGCGTGAACCACTGGCATCAGGCTTGAACACTGCATTTTTTGACTCTTTCCATTAACCCCCATGTTCAGCTAGTTGCTAAGTCAGAGTGTGTGACATCCAAAAATATTAATAGCTCACCTTTACTAAATGCTTATTGTACTAATCACTGTTCTAAGCATTTTATGTATATGAATTTAAGATAACCTTGTTATGCCCACATTTTGCAGATGGGGAAGTGAAGGCACAAAGATAATTCCATTGCCTTAGGCTGTGTGGCCAGTAAGGAGCAAGCGTAGGATTTGAGCCCTGGACTCTGGCTGAGGCGTTCCCTTCACTCTTCTCCACAGTTCAGTTCCTCAGTCTCTCTCTGGCACATGGCGGTATTTCAGCCTCTGCCTGTGGAAGTGAATGGGTGAGGTTCTGGAGCCCACCAGATATGCTGGCTTGAAAACCATGTTACTCTAGCTCCATGGCATCCTGAGGCTTCCCCTGCCCCACAGAACAAAATCCATAGTCTTTTGAGTGGCATTTTAAGTCTCCTCAACCTCATCCCATCTTTTTTCTCTTTTCCATTTCTGTTTTTTCTGAGGCATAATATCTGAACATCTTCATGGGACATAGAAAGATTCAATATATGTATACAATGTGTAATAATCAAATTAGGGTACTAAGCACTTCCATCTCTTATTTTTTTCATTTCTTACCCTCCCCCAACACTGTCATGTTCAACTACAGTTCCTCAAGAAGGCCAGCTTTGGTCAGGTGCTGGTGGCTCATGCCTGTAATCCTAGCTACTTTGGAGGCTGAGATAGGGAGGATTGCAGTTAGCAGCCAGTCTGGAGACCCCATCTCTAAAATAGCCAGAGCAAAATGGATGGCAAATGTGGCTCACATGGTATAGCCTCTGCTTTGCAAGTACAAAGCCCTGAGTTCACATTTCTCTCTCTCTCTCTCTCTCTCTCTCTCACACACACACACACACACACACACACAATGCCTCACACATACTCCAGGCCACCGAGATTTTGTTCTTTCTGGTCCTTAGCATAAAATACCCTTCCTCCTCCTCCTCTTTCTCTTTGTCCTCCTCTTTTGGGTAGTACTGGGATTCGAACTCAGGGCTTTGCACTTGAGAGGCAGGTGTTGTACCTCTTGAGCCATGCTCCAGTCCTTTTTGCTTTGGTTATTGTGGAGACAGACTGGCCTGGATCGTGATCCTTCTATTTTAGATTTCCTACTACTGTTGGGATGACAGACACATGCCACGGCACCCAACTTTTTTCTGTTGAGATGGGGTCTCAGGAACTTTTTTGCCTAGGCTGCCCTGGAATCTCCATCTTCTGATCTTAGCCTCCTATGTAGTAGGATGTCAGGCACACGCCACCAGGCCTAGCTTGTTGGTTGAGATGGGGGGTCTCACAAACTTTTTTGCCCCATCTGCCTCAAACTGAGATCCTCCTGATCTCAGCCTCCCAAATAGCTAGGATTACAGGCGTGAGTCACCAGTTGCTGGCTAAGTTTGGGCCTTTGACCAATATGTCCCCATTTTCCCTACCCTCCAGTCCTTGGCAACCATTATTCTACTCTATTTCTATGAATACAACTTTTTAAAATGTAATGAGATCATGCGGTATTTGTCTTTTTGTCCCTGCCTTATTCCACTTACCATAATGTTCTCAAGGTTTGTCCATATTTCAGGTGGCAGGATTTCCTTGTTTTTTTCCCTTTTTTTCAGGCTGAATAATATTTCATTGAATGTATATATGTATACCATACACATTACATATGTTCATTATATAAATTCAATTGTGCATATCTCTGTGCATGGATAATACTGCATTTCCTTTACCCTCTATCCTCTTTCCTAACTGTCCAGACCATCCCTTCCATTAGGCCAGATGGGATGCTCTATTCCCGTTGGGTAGGAACTAGGACTCTCAACCCCAGTTCTGTGAGAGCCAGTGGTGAATAGCACTGGGGCGGCCACTCTCAGGCTGCTTGACCTTGGTCTCCAGGCCCCCAGGATCCCCTGCCCTGGGGACTTCCCTCATGCTCTCAGCACCCAGCATAGCACCTTGAACATTGCAAGTGTTCCCTCACATCTGACTAATCAGTTTCTCTGTCAAAAGGGAACATTTATTGTTAAAATGTAAAACATCATTGAGAGTATAGTGAGGATTTATGACTTATTCTGCAATTTGCCTTTCTTCCTCTTCAAAACTCCTTTCTCAGGGTGGTTGGAACATCCCTCTTAAGGAGAAGACATTAGTTTGTCCCTCTGTCACTCCTCCTTCTTTCCCTTGGCAGAAAATTCAGGAAAGGTCCACGTATTCTATCTTCTGTTCACCCAGATGCTGCTCTATGCCAAGTGGAAAGGGTTCAGCTCTCCCCTACCCTGTATTGTCATGGATGGGCCAGACTACTAGGAAAACAACAATTACAGAGGCTTGGGAAAATGATGCAGGGCACTTAGAGGAATGGCATTTGCTTTGAGCCTGAGGACTCCAGTCTGCTGATATAATAGGAATGGAGAGTGTGGGAACAAGGGAAGACTACTTAGGGGAAGAAGTGCTTCCAGATAAATGACTAAGAGAAGCAAGCAGCTGAGCTGATGCGGAGGCCACAGGGCTTCTGGGGCTTGGATTTACCTGGAAACTCTTTTCCTAGGATGGCTGGGAGCTGGTCATGTGGAAAAGATATTTTCAGACTTGGCTTACAAGGCAAAAATGCTGTGTTCCAATTATTTTCTTCCTTTGGCCTCCTACTAATATGACTATTATAGTTTTTGCTCCTCTAAAATGTTATTTAATAAATCTTGACATAAAGGCAATTAAAAATCTTCAGTTCAAATTAACAACAGCTGTGTGTTAAGCTGTATCGCTGCCCCAGTTAGAAGCCTTCCATGGGAGCAACAGCTGCAAATTCTTAGCATTTTTTGGCCAAACAGGCAGGAACTGTGGAATTTTAAGTAATCTACACAATGGCTTGATTCTTCCCTTGGCATCACATGGGGAGAACAAAGTGACTTTCTCACTGAGATGAAGGCCCAAAAAGCTGGTGGAAACACGAATTTCATATCCTGTCACCTATCTGTCTTTGAGGTCTTAACTTATGACTTTTAAATAAAAACAACAGGGCCTTTGATATCCCTCCAGGATAATTTGTTACATGAGACGAAAATCTTTTGGGGAACCACCTCTCAGACTGAGTGGGCTGTGTTCTCTGGTGACAAGGTGACTGATGGCAGATGCGGAGCTGCTACATTTCCTGTCCTGGAGGTGATTTTTACTGTGTCATTACTGCAGACTCACACCCTGGGAAGACCCATATACAATGCCTGGTGGTGTGACTTACAGAGTCTAGAATGTGAGATTCCATTTGAAGGGGTTTGTCAATACTTCAGGAAAGGAAAAAGTGGAAGACTTTTAAATGTGATTTAAAAGATTTTCCATGTTGACTGGGTACCAGTGGCTCATGCCTGTTATTCTAGCTACTCAAGAGGCAGAGATCAGGAGGACTGCAGTTTGAAGTCAGTCCAGGCAGACAGTTGGCTAGACCCTAATTTGGAAATAACCCAACACACAGAAGGGCTGAAGGAGTGGCTCAAGTGGTAGAGCATCTGCCTAGCAAACCTGAGGCCTTGGGTTCAAACTCCAGTACTACCTCCAACCCCCTCATTTTTTTTCCATGTGAGGCCAAAGGTGCTATATTGTGAAAAGCATGAATACTGTGAACCGTTCGTCCATAGTGCAGACTATTTCCCCGTCCTGTCCACAGAAGGGGGAGGAAAGTACCAGGAGTTCTGAGTCACTGAAGCCCTGTTCTTGGGTACCTGGTATTTTCTGAGGTGGGACTGAAATGACAAGCGTCACCTTAACATACCCACCTGGGTCACCTTTTCCACTTTGCTCTTTATTTACAGGAGCAATTTTCTCTTAAAGACAGCTCCTGGACTCATCAGCTCTACAAGGCCAGGACCTGCCTCCTAAGTAATTGTTGCAGGTACTTGACTTCAGGAGAAAATGAAATAGCAAAGTTGGCATGGTACAACACATTCTGGGCCCAGAACGAAAGCCCAGACAAATAAAGATGTCAGGTAGGTAATTAGCTGAATCCCAAACACAAACAAATGTATTCACTTAAGTTTTCGATTACACTTTTATTTTTAAGTGTTTTCCTTAGTAATGGCACAGAGCTGTCCTTTGTGACATTTTATTGTATCTTGTTAACTGCTTGATCCTTGATGCAACCTGGATTTAAGTCTGACTCCTGTTAATATGGTTCTTCATGGAAACACATTTGTTGAGCAGCTTGTCTTGTCTGGCACTATGTTAAACACTGGGATGGCTGGCAGAGTGGCTCAAGTGGTAGAGTACCTACCTAGCAAGTGTGAGGCCCTGAGTTCAAACCCCAATACTGCCAAAACAAAAAACAACAACAACCCCCCCAAAACAAAAACAACAACAAAAAACCCAACCTCCACAAAACCCACACTGGGAATGAAGAGACTCAGAGCTGGGTCTTTCTATCCAAGCAGACAGTCTAAGGGGGGGTGTAGTGACAGGTGACTCACCACTCACCATCACCGTGGTGTGGCAGGGTTATAAGCAGAGCCTTTAAACATCAACACAGAAACACTGGGCATGGGGGTGAATAATTAATTACCTTTGTCAACCCGGGGGAAATGTAGTAAGGAAGATCATAAGACCGAGTCTGGGATCCTCCATGTGACGTGGGCACAGATGGGTACTGCAGATAATGGTGGAAGGGAAGCAGATGTGATGTATTGTGAAGGGCACAGGACAGATGGATCTGCCACTTACTAGTCACGTGGTTATGGACCAGCATTTTCTAAGACTTAGTTTCCTCATCTGTAAAATGGGGAGAAAACAAGGAACTTTCTGCCTCATTCCTTTTCTGACTCTCTTTCCTCATCTCCCATACTTGGCCAGTTACTAAGCTCAATTGGATTTACACTTGGAAAGATACCTGAAACTTGTCCCCTTGTGCCAGATCTCATCAAAAACTCCTCTTGTCTCTGCCAAAAAGTTGGTGCTTGGCAAATGCTATTTACAATGAAATGAGGTTAATCAGCTGTCTAGCTCTTCCTGAGTCACAACATCCAGCATATGGAGGTTTGAATTAAACATAATCCAAAATCAGCAACAAATTTGGCACCTAGTCAGCACTTAGACAGTCCAGACTACCTGCAGGTTTCTAAGGTATATCTGTGTGTGTACACATTTGTACATGTGCATTTCACAGTGGACACACAGATACATGTATCTGGTTTAGAGAACTCATAAAACTTATTTTCTCTAAGGCAAAGCAGAAAGCACAGTGCTCTCTGGGTTCTGATTGACATCAGCAAAGATTCCCAGGCCTTCGTTCCTATCCCAACCCAGCACTAGAGTCCTTTAGACTTCCTTGGCACCAGTGACCCTTATCGAGAACTCAATTTCAGCTTCCTATAGATCTGACTGAACCTGAGAGTTCACTGCTTGAGTTTATCCCCCTACTCTGATGGCATCTTTCGCTCCCTTTTTCCTTGACCTCACTTCTTAACTTGTTCTTTGTTGTTTCATGATATGATCAAGATGGACCATATCCTTTGGGCTTCACCTACCTCTTTCCAGCTGGACACCAGGCCCTTTCTTTGAATGCTCTTTCCCTCTTTATGACAGCCTGGCATTTGTTTTATTTGCATCTACTTTGGGTTGCTAAGAATCCCTCCAGAGAGAAAGAAAACCAAGCCAACTTGGTCATGCTTTGTAATTTCACAACAGCTTTTAATGCCTCTTAGTAAATCAATTCCTCTTTTGCTGGTGTTGAATTAGAGGTCTGTGGATGGATTCTAGATAGTATTTTCCTACTGTCCTCAGACATTTTCTTATTCTACTCTTAACATTTTAATTCTCTTACCACTAGGAAGACAAAATCATTTTATTTCCTTAACATTTTCAAAATATTTGTAACTTCTTTCTTTGTTTTCTATCCCTTTGTTCTCCTGCTGGGAAGACTTTTATACAACTTATTCAGCCTAACTCTAATTTCTCTATTTTGGCTCTTGTAACACCTTGGCATTTTGTTCACAGTAACATTTATTTCTCTTTCTATATATCTATCTAGATCTCTATCATCTATCTATCTATCTAATTTTCAATTTTCTTCTTCTTCCTCCTCCTCCTCTTCTTCTTCTTCTTCATACTGAGGATTGAACTCAGGGCCTTGTGCTTGCTAGGCAGGCATTCTACTTCTTGAGCCACTCTACCACAGCTCTAATGTTCAATTCTTAAAGTCTATATCTCCTATTAGACTCAGTGGTCCATGAATGCAAGGTCTGAGTCTGCTTTGCTCCCAACCATGCCTGAAACAAACACAAAGCCTGAAACAGATGATGCTTTGTTACAGCAGTGAAAGAATAGCTAATTTTATGATGAATGAATACTTTCTTGCCTGCTCCAAGTATGTGATACTCTCTTGTCCACATTAAATTTATTCTTCTCCATTGGAACCTTCTCTTCTATGTAACAACATGCTCTGTTCTCTCTAATCCAGGTGAAAATACTTCTAACATGGTCTGTGTTCACTGATTATCTTTCTATTCTTTTTTTTTTTTCAGGAGTCTAGAACTGCCCATTTCCATTTCTTCCTCATTCATTGACTGCTTCTCCTGTTGGAAACTATCTTCTGCCTTCATTGATCTCTGTAATTGTCTTTTAAAGTTCAACAGTGATTGCATAAATGTCATATTATTTTACAGCTTTCTTCTACTCTTTAATATCTTTGACTTCTCAGTATCATTTTGTGTGTGTGTGTGTGTGGTTCTGGGGTTTGAACTCAGAGCCTCACGCTTGCCAGGCAGAAGCTCTACCTCTTGAACCACTTCACCAGCCCTCATTCAACAAACATCTTGAAAGTCTCTCCTCTTTTGGCTCTCAGACAAGTGGTCAGCCCTTTCTCTCTTTCTTCCTTTGCCAGGCTAAGCTCACAGAAAGCAGAAACTTCTTCATTTCCTTGGCTGTCCCTAGAACCTTGTGCAATGGCACAGATGACTGTTGATTAGAGAGAATATGTAGGAGCTTTTGGCTCCATAGTGACAACTCTATTCCCTTTCACATAAAAGTGAAGTTTTTACATCTCATGTTCACATCTTGGGGCATTCTCCATCTGGTGAGATGACTGATTAAGTTGTTTATCTCCTTTGAGCTTCAACTAGTTCAATTTCAAAGTGCAGATGCTCACAGTGATACTGGTTGTGAGGACAAGAGGGGTGATGCACGTCCATGCCTGGAACAGCAGTCTGCACGGTAAAACACTAATAAGCATCTCAATTATTGCCTGTGAAATGAGGCAGTGAGCATGGGTGATGCTTAAAGTCCTACCTCTTATAATCCAAGGTCGGTATTTTTTGCAGGACCTGGGATTGAGCCCAGGGCCTTGCATATTCTAGGCAAGTGCTCTACCCTTGAGCTATATCCCCAGCCCACATTCCATGATTTTATGAAGTATTTTTTTTATTGTGGTTCTATTTTAACATCTTTAAAGACCAGGGTCTTCATAGTTATAGCTTATGAGGGTACCAAATATCTTTTGCAAATCAAACTACCCTATTTCTAGATGATCTTCAGATTTGTTTACAAATTGATCATATTTCTGTCCCTTAGAATATTTCTGTTTCTCTAAATGAAAATGGGTCCCAATACTGAGTTCAGGTTTTTGTGACTGAACAATAATCCCTTTCAGAGAGAAGCTATTTGTCATTGGAACTTGAATTGATTGTGCCCTAGGAATGATTCTAGCAGTCTGGCCCATGACTCATCTTAAACATCCTACATCTAGAATGAACTCCAAAGCCATGCTGAGTTTCAGGATGGAATTTTTGGGAACTGACTCTCTCTGACCCAAAGCAATTAAGAAAAATAGACCTTTATTCTCACAGACACCATTTCTCTTAGTTTTGGAAGGCATCAATGGCCTCAGGTTATTTGGTGAATGTGTTGAAATGTGCCAGTGCTATATAGGGTCAGCTGAAGGTTATATGGAAGAACTTTGAATAGGACTAGGAACTTTGTGATAGCAGAGACTGCCTGATTTATTAGTGCTTGGTATATAATAGGCACTTGAAAATGGTTAGATTAACAAATGAAGCCTCACTAAGTTATCCTATATACAACAAAGAAGGCAATTAGAAGACTTCAGGTCCTAGTCACTCGTGCTTTGAACTTGCTGAGTGGTTCTGGGAGAATCCTTTTGCCTCTCTGGATCAGCTTCCTTGTCTGTAACCTGAAGGAGCTGGATGACATGGGTATTTTCCTGCTTTGCCTTGCATTACTTAGCCTAAATATTCTAGCTGTCCTTCTTAGTGCTCCTCCCTGCAGAAGAATTGCAGCTCCCACCTTCTAGAGTATGGACCTGAAATGTTCCCCAAAGGCCTATGTGCTAAAGGCTTGGTCCCCACATGCTTGTTGGAAGGTGATGGAAATTTTAAGAAGTGGAATGTAGTGGGCCATCTTTAGGTCATCGGGGAGTGTGCCCTTGAAAGGGGCTGTGGGATTCCAGTACCTTCCTCTCTCTCTTTTGCATCTTTGCCATGAGGTGAGTAATTTTCTCACTCCCAACAAGATGTGCTGCCCTGCCACAGGCCCAAAAGCAATCAGGGACTGGAACCTCCAAAACCAAGGGTCAAATAAATCTTTTCTTATTGATGGAAAACTGACTAACACATCACTTTTGGTGGAGGCATGCCACGTTTAGCCTGTGTGTGCTTGGCCAGGTTTCTCTTCCCTTTGCTGTCAGATGACAGTGTGTTGGATGGCAGGGCTCCATCAGCAGGGTTACCAGGAGTTTGAAAAAATTCCTGACAGATCTCTAACTCTCTGGGGGCTGATGCCTAGGAATTTATAAAAATTTCCTCAAGGGAAGGGTGCAGATAATTGCATTTTCCTTTGACATGTATGAGAAAAGATGATGTTCTGATAGATGGATAGAGGGACAGCAAGTGATAAAACAAGACAGAATAAAATGCTAATGGTAGAATATAGATGGTGGGTGTATAAGTGTTCACTGTACAATGCTTTTTGGCTTTAGTGTATGTATGAAATATTTTCATTATAAACAAAAATAATATTTGAGAAACATTCCCCAGGTGATCTTGCTGATTAGCCTGATTTGAAGCTCCTAGACTAGATAATCTAGCGAAGGCAATTTACTGTGAATTCCCCAGTGGTCACTGCAGGGAGGCCATGCTGATCTTTCATTTCATGTTTACAATGTAATAATGCTGAGATAATGGTTCTATCGTGAATGACTAATTGTTATAATGGTCAATACTTTCATTGCCTTATTAAAAGCTGGATCGGTCCTCTTTGCTGCAGACGTGGGGATCTTTTGCTGCAGGTGGTGGGGCTGTGGACGACTTCGCACCAGTGCTGTGGTTCTGAGGTCAAGTGCTGAGGAAGTCACTGCAAACCGTTCACATGAAAGTCTCTGGTTCACCATGTGTTGGGCTTGTTATATTGTCTAATAAGTGTTTTATTTATAGTATAGCATTCAATTTTTTCAATAGTTATTTGAAACTGTTAACTATTTATAACCCTGTAATAGGTGGAAAAATGCGCCAAAGGCTTCCTGGTACTACTAAGCTCTCCAGCCTCCCATCTAAAGGCCCTGCTGGCTCTTCTTGCTGGAAATCAGACAGACCTGCTGTTCAGAAATGCATGACACGGTCTTCAATCAACTGTAGTGATCTTGGGAGTCAGGCTTTCATTGTGGCCCCGTGGGGTTCCCGGAAGAAATACAGAAGGCTCAGTTAAATACTGCACAGCACATAATTACACGAAACACAGTCACTGAGTATCTGAAATTCAAATTTAAGTAGGGGTCTTGTGTTTCTGTTGTTAAACTGGCAACAATCAGGCCCCACCATTTGTTAGCTGGAAGACTTTGGGGACATGATTTTTATCTCCATTCTGACAACTGACAGTCTATGATTTTGCTATTCATTGAGCTAACACCCATTATGCTGGAGAGACAGGTGAAATGTCTCATCAAGACAAGACACTGAAACTGAAAGCTACAACACTAGCTCCTACGTGGGCAGAAGACAAGGCAGGTCCAGGTGTCAGGTGAGAGGAAACAGCAGGCACCATGGTGATGGTTCCTAGACACTTCTACCTCATGCTGGGTGAACTCCTATAGCTCAGGATACCCTGACCCGTTCCACCCTAACCCATCTCAAAACAGGGATGGGCAGGATTTCCATAGTGCTCCTGAAAAACACAATTAAAACACCTGTCCTTTTTCTTCACCCAGAGG